ACTCCATACCTGGTGGAAAACAAGTAAAAAGATTAAAAAGGCGTTTTGTAACATAGAAAGAAACAGTGTAACTCAAGCATCGAGACTGAACTCACCAATGAAAGAAGGCTGGAAGAGGGTCTCTGGGCAACGGAAACGCTCATTACCAATGGTGATGACCTGACCATCGGGCAGCTCGTAGCTTTTTTCCAGGGAGGAAGAGGAGGCAGCAGTGGCCATCTCATTTTCAAAGTCAAGAGCCACGTAACATAACTTCTCCTTGATGTCACGCACAATCTCACGCTCAGCTAAGGACCAGAACGTTTAGCTATTTAGGAAAATCCAATTCATACATTTTTAATACGCAAACTAATTAATCAAGATGGCATAGTCCTACCAGTTGTGACAAAGGAGTAGCCACGCTCAGTCAGGATCTTCATCAGGTAGTCAGTAAGATCACGACCGGCCAAATCCAGACGCATGATGGCATGTGGGAGAGCATAACCCTCATAGATGGGAACATTGTGTGTTACACCATCGCCAGAGTCCAGCACAATACCTTTAACGAGCAAATAAGAGCAGCAGTTCAGCTATGTCACACATCACTCACTATACAATGTTGCTGACATCACTGAGAACACATGCTGCTGTAGGGGGATTAGCACCTCCACTTGACAAGGAGACAGATGACAGACACAATAATAGTGTAAACACACACATCATACGCATCTCTTGCTTAAGTACTGGATCTGTATTTTACATTCTGGAATAACTGATCTCAGACTCAAATAAACACCTGGAAAAATGATTGAAGTTTACTGACCAGTGGTACGGCCAGAGGCATACAGAGACAGCACAGCCTGGATGGCCACATACATGGCAGGAACGTTGAAGGTCTCGAACATAATCTACAAGAGAAAGCAAGCAGAATCAGAGGGAGAAGAAACACACAACTTACGTATAAATGGGGTCTAAAACAATTGATTAGTTGCTTTAAATACCTGAGTCATCTTCTCCCTGTTGGCTTTGGGGTTCAGGGGAGCTTCAGTCAGCAGGGTGGGGTGTTCCTCAGGAGCTACACGCAGCTCATTGTAGAAGGTGTGGTGCCAGATCTGACCGAGGAAAGAGAAGAAATCTGAAATAACTGAATAAGCAACAACCTGATCTTACTAACGACGCACCAAATGCTCTTATAATGGCTGTAAAGATAAAGTGGGGTGTAGGTGAAATTGCACAAACCTTCTCCATATCATCCCAGTTGGTGATGATGCCATGCTCAATGGGGTACTTCAGTGTCAGGATACCCCTCTTGCTCTGGGCCTCATCGCCTACATAGCTGTCTTTCTGACCCATACCCACCATCACACCCTGAAAAAAGACACATGAGCTGGAGTATAAAACACATGAAAACAGTTACCCTAAACATCTTTTTAACATTGCACTAAGATAGTTTTTTGCTTGGAGCATACCTGGTGGCGGGGCCTTCCAACGATGGAAGGGAAGACAGCACGGGGAGCGTCATCTCCAGCAAATCCAGCCTTGACCAAGCCAGAGCCATTGTCGCACACAAGGGCGGTAGTCTCATCGTCGTCACACATGATGAGGCTTTACTGGGGTGATCTAAAATTTGATGAGAAGGTTTAGGCTGGTTGTTAGGAGCATCTGCCTAAATTCTCCATCATATAAACTAAGGATGTGTTATTGTTGAACAATCACTGACTTTATTGTTGGAGCAGCTGATTAAATGAGACCCTTTAGAGATAGAGTCAGTCACTCGTGTGGTTAATAGATACGTATTAGCTGTGATTTAACAGTCCTTTGAAGAGCAGCCAGCACTATCTGATAGCTGTTCTTATGGGATTATCACTTGTGAATACTAGCACAACTCAATTCAGTGGGTGCTACAGAGCTAATTCGATGTGGATGGATGCTATTTTTGTCCGACCCTTGTCAGAAACCCCTGATACCATATCTCCACAGCCACGATTGTTCCTGGGGTATCTAAGAGCTGCTGAGGTAGCACCAAAAAGGGCCACAACCGGGAGACCTGTGAGCTATTTTAAGCTCAGCACCCCCACAGCCGTTAACAGGGTTAAACAAGTGACACATTGATCTCTTGCTATTTCAGGTCAGAGAGAAGTGCCTGGCCAGCACCCATCTGTCTGTACGCTGTGACACTCGGGTTTTACTACTTGCTTCTGTGACCCAGCTGCCTCTAAACCTAAGCCACTGAGTCACTGGTAAATTTAACCAACATCCTCTCAGAGTTGCACTTTCCAAGTACTACTCTAGCGTGACTTTGTAGTGTATCGGTATACTTTGTGAGACTTTGCACACTACAAAGTGTACCGATCACAGGAAAACACATCACCCCGCTGTCAGTCGTTTGTGGCATCACATGCAATCAAACCATTTTAAGCAAAAAACAGGTAGAAATAACACCAGCTTTCACTGTGCTCCACAAATCCAGTCAGTGATTCTAACTTCTGAGCACGCTGAAATAACCTAATCTATTCTCTCATAAAAGTAAAAAAAATAAAATCCTTCATTTCAAATAACAGGTAGTAACTTTCCTGAAGGTAAAAAGAAGGCAGTTGCACAAGCAGATACCTCTTCAGTGATTCAAAGAGACACACTTTGAAATGTACTCACCTAAGCAAGCTGGAACACAGATGCTTCCACTGGGATGCAGGGTCACAGTCAGGGGATCCCCTTAAATATGCCCCACAATGGGTCGAAGGACAAGGGGCGGGGCTGAGGGTTCACACGAGTCCAAATAAGAGCTGCCAGCAAAAATCCTCATGCCCTTGGAAATGTGTGTTGTTTCACATACATGGAAGAGACTTCTCTACAGTGCACTCCTACTCGCTCACAGTTTAAACATGACATGTTAGTTCAGTTATTCTTGCTTTTCGGATGCACCCAGAGATGACTATTGATATGAACTACTGAAAGTTTTTTTCAAAAACTGGTGTAGATGGTTGTTATATGTAGGTCTTTAAAAAAGCTTTTTAAGATAATTAAGCATTTTTCTATATTGTTACTAAAACTATATCTGATGTCTTTCTTTATATAACTATACTGTAGAACAAGATTAATAAAGGAAAGGAAGAAAGGAACATAAGGCATCATCTGCATTTTAGTTACAGTGCAATCTCTTAATAGCTCTCAAATAATGTCAAAGTCTTGATAAAGTGTCTGTATAATATTTGAAATGATGTGTCTCCCAATGCGGAACAAATGCAACTCATCCCTCGCAGGTTTTGCGGATCCATCCAGTCAAGACAGCGTGACTGGTGTCTCGCTAAGGAGATGAAAACAACCACTCTGCTGGTATGTGCACTGAGCCTCCTCAGTGTGTGGAACAGCTGATGGTATTGCCAGAAGGGCTCTATCTGATCTGGCTCTCTGTGTCAGCGCTCCATCATGATTGGCTCAGCTGTCTCCTTATAGGGTGATGGTGAGGAACAGAGTCATCAATGAGCAGCCACTGAGGTCTCACAGCTTGCAATGAGGAATTCCATATAAGCGCCACTCACTGCTTAAGGTTCATTTTCCTTTATGTCCACTGAACCTTGTGATGTAATATTTTCACATCTGTGAGTGAATGATACAAACATTTGGCATAATCGTTGGTGAAGCACAAGAATGTTCCCTTTGGGATTTTTCTGTATCTCAGGAAATGTCACTCATTTATTTGTAATGAGTACAACAATAATTAAGTAAATATAATGAAGAATAACTCTGATCTAAAAGAGAAATATGTGCAGTATATGATAGGCAAAGGAATGTGAGAGCATTCTTCTGCTCCACACTGCCCCAGCAGACACAAGTGCCTCCTATTTATAGCTGTACTCCACAGATAGGAGCTGGATGCAGACGAAGCATCACATAGTTATCTGCATGACAAAGAGGACTTTTAATAGAAGACTGGATTTATATTGTTTAGATACAAGAAAGTAAGGGGTGTGATTCACAGTAAAAATATAACAAAGGGCGACAGTTACAGAGCAAAATTAGGAAACAGAATTCAGTCTTGAACTGTGAGGATTATAAAAAACTAAATAAAGAATACCTCAGGTGTATTTATGGGTGGAGAGGGACATTATGGGAAAACTATCACTCCATCCATTCATCAGTCTCACGCCCAGTTTAGGATCACAAGTTAAACTAATGTACATGTGTCTGTGCTTTGGGAAGAAGCCAAGGTTCCCCGCTCAGCAAAAAACTACAAATCCCTTTTCAGAAAACGTGGAGCGCTGTGTAAAATAAAATAAAAAACAAACAACTGAGTGAGGTGCACATTAATGAAATCCTTAATTCGGACTGTGGAAATATATCCTGTGCTGAACCTGGGATTGTTATTTATTTACAACCCAAATCCCCCAAACTTGGAAAACTGTGTGAAATATAAAAACAGTATGCAATGATCAGCAAACTTTGGAAACCAATGTTTTATTCGCAATAAATCCTTGAAAACATATAATTTGTTTAACCTGAGACATTTTACCATTTAATTAAAAACATGCATATACGGGTTTTAGATCAACATATACCTCCATGCAGATGACGCCTTTTTAAGGAAAGCGGTGCTCACACTCAGTCGAGTGCATTTGATTAGCAGCACATAGCTACAGTTTACCCTCTGCATTTGTTATGGCTCGTGGGCTGTACTCAGTTTTCCACACTTCTTATGCATTCCGGCACGAACCGTTCATTTCACTGCATTCCCCTCATTTTAAGACCTACTGATGACTGATACGTCCTCATTAAACCTTAGCATTGAAAGATGGTGTATTTCCTTTTTTAAAGACTGTAACTTAAACTGATAAATCACATATTAAACTACATATTTAAAAAATGTTTATTAAAACTAACCAACATTTTCCACCAACTCAATTCAAATTCTTTATTGTCCCACAAGGGGAAATTCCACTCTCAACAGGCTTCACACCGAGACCGTGACGATTACTGCTCTCTGGAGGCCTTCTTCGACACGGCTACGTGATGACGTTTCACATGCGACGCGCAACCTACAACAGGCATGCGCCAGATACAACGTTGTTGTGGTCGTCCGTCGACTGCGTGGTAAGTTGGCGTTCACTTCATGTACTTCTTGTCAGGCAAGCTGAGTATCTGCGGAGTTTCGAGCTTACAGAGTCGGGGGAGCTGAGTGCGGTGAGTCCGGGGCTGGAGCTGCGCGCTGAGCGGATCCGCTTCCTCCTTCTGTTTGACGGCTGTGGGCGTGCGGACGGGGAGACTGCCATGTAGCTGAGGCAGAAGAATGAGCAGTCAGCGCACTTCAGCGGACGGGACAGACGACTACGCGGTTCAGCAGGAAAATGAACTAGAAGCCCTCGCGTCTATTTTTGAAGATGATTTCAAGGATCTGCGGAGCAACGACCCCTGGAAGGTAGATCCACCTTCTATCTGTGTGCAATCTTCATGTTAGCGGAATGCAGAGGACTGCCAAGTGTTTGCATATACGAGTGTTAACTGGAGTAAACTGCAGTGCAAATCAACGAGGCTCCTTTTGATTTGGTTTTCAGGTTAAAAGGCCACCAGAGGTGTACGTCTGTCTGCGGCCCAATGGGCTAAACAACGGACAGGAGTGTTACGTGACCGTGGACCTGCATGTCAAATGTCCTCCCACGTATCCGGACGTGTGAGTACTGGCTGCCTTTCTTTGCCAATTCTCCATCATTGTCGCTGCACTGCAAGGATCACTGCATCAAAAATGGCTAGAATAGTGACTAAATAGATAAAATATCGAAATTAAATACCATTCAAGCAGTCCTGTAAAGTCACATATTTTAGCACACACTAATAAAAATAATTGTCACTAGTCTTTTGCAATGTGATAATCTTTGAAAGTCCAAATAATGCTAAATAAAACACGTGCAGTACTTTTTAACATTATTGCACATTATCCTGGGAGAGCCTTATGGGTCAGGTTACATTTAAAATGCATTAAGAGGCATTAAAAAGCACAAGTATCTGTTTAAAAGAAATCGTACATGAATATAAATATAGCAGAACAGCTGAGAGTTATGAAAAACATAACAGTAGTTCATCTCATGAGTAGGTCACCTTAATGCCATGACTACCACAGGCAAGCTGGGATGTATTTTTAATTATTATGTCTGACTAACTTGACATTATTGGGCACTAACAGGCCTCCAGAACTGGAGCTGAAGAATGCCAAAGGCCTTTCAAACGACAACCTCAAAAATCTGCAAGCTGAACTCAACAAGCTGGCGGCGGAACAATGCGGAGAGGTGAGCATACACTCGCAGACGCACGTGCAGTCCCATGTGTGTTGAGATTTTCATTAACTTATTTATCTGTGAACTTAGGTGATGATTTACCAGCTAGCGGATCACATTCAGGGTTTCCTGAGCGAACACAACAAGCCTCCGTCGCGCTCCTTCCACGAGGAGATGCTGAAGAACCAGCGGAGGCAGCAGGAGAAACTAGCGCTGGAGGAGCAGCAGAGAATGGACCAACGACGCAAGCAGGAGGAGGAGATGGTTAGGACAGGAGGAAGAAACGCTGATTAGGTTGCAGTGTAATGCCCAAGTGATTTGTGTGGTCCGGTCACAAAGGCTACAGGATCATTTCATGTTATTCATTCACAGCCTGACCGTCTGTGATTTCTAGAAGCAGTTCAGGCTGATGATTCACTCTTTTACTAGGAAAACTGGCAAATTCCAGCTTTCTACTGTTGTTAGTTGGTTATGAATAAATATTTTTGTGATGATGATAGGGGTACTATTCATGCTGTGTCCTTCAATTTTTTTAGGCCAGATATCGGCTATTATGACTTTAGGACTATAATAGGAATATAGCATTTATCAGTTGACGTGGAAAACATCATTTTTAAGTTCCTTTCATGGGAGTTTTACCACAAAAAAGGCAAAGTATCTTAAATTAAATTCTTAATTGGAGCAAAATCTTTAACACTGACAGTTTAAGTAAGCTGCAAAAGGTGTATTGTGATGGAATTTTCTTATTCCTTTAGGAAAAAGAAATCATGGCTGAAATCCAAAGGAGAGAAGAGGAAAAGCGAGAGGAAAAGAGAAGAAAGGAAATGGCTAAACAGGTGTTCTCGCTGTTTGATTTCGTTAATCATCAGTAAAATCACACGGATTTTATAGATCGCAGTCAGAGCAACCCGTATAACTAAGCCATCAGTATTGTAAGTGACTCTTTGAATGGCTTTCTATTTGCAGGAGCGACTCGGGAGCATGGAGCATTCGATGTCTGTGATGGGGAAGAGTCCACCCAGCCCAGGAGGCGCAGCTCCCGAACTGTTTGAAGCCAAGAAAGCAGCTGGCAATCGCCGTCGGACTACCTCAAATTCCCGCCACAGGTACACGTCCTACATACAGAAAAAGCTTCTCATGTTTAACAAAGTGCAGTAATAATGCTTAGATATGTCTCCTTCAGCAGACGGGACACGGTTAATGAGGACAACAGTCGCCCGCAGGAGGTTCTTCACTTCAGCAGCAATGTTTTTGGAGAGCTTGCTGTGCACCAAGGGAAAAGCTTAGGTGAGGGCCATCAGACTGGCGCTGCCAGCCACGTGGCCAAAAACGTAATATGTCTCTTTAAATGCATTTCTTTTTTGGTGCGTTTCCGACAGGTGTAAGTGAACGGTTCGGTCGTAACATTTATTGCGGGTTTGAGGTGAACTCTGGCGATTTTGCTGTGATCTATGAGTGGTCGTTGCAGTGGAACAAAAAGATGAGCAAGTTCTTCACCACCCAGGAGAGAGGAAGGATTGAAAACTGTAAAAAACAGGCAAGTAGAGAGGAAGGGGGGCTTTTTATTAAGAATTTGCTGATTAAATCTTGCATTTGAACTTATAAAGCCTTTACGAACATGCATGCTTAAAGCTTGGCACATTTCAACTTGCGTTGTGCAGATCCATGCAGCAGAAAATGAGTTTAACTCCCTGCTGCGGCTGGAGCACCCAAACTTGGTGCAATACTTGGGGCTGAGCGTGGTCGAGAAGGAGGAATGCATCGTGGTTTACATGCTGGTGGAGCACGTGGCCGGGAACAGCTTGAACCAAAGCCTGACCGCCCACGGCCCGGTCCCTCTGGATAAGCTCTGCCACTACACGGCCCAGCTGCTGACCGCTCTCGACTATCTGCACTCCAACTCCGTGGTCCACAAACAGCTGGGGCCCTCCAGCGTGCTGGTGGACTCCGAGGGGAACATTCGAGTGACCGATTACAGTTTATCAAAGAGGTTTGCTGACATCTGCAAAGAAGACATTTTCGAACAAGCTCGCGTGCGTTTCTCCGAGGAAACGGCGATGCCAACGAGAACGGGCAAGAAAGGCGACGTGTGGAACCTGGGACTGATGCTGCTGGCGCTGAGTCAAGGCAAGGAAGTGAAGGAGTATCCGGTGACAGTGCCGAGTAGCCTGCCTGCTGATTTTCAGGATTTCCTTCAGAAGTATGTATCGATGAATAATTCCTCATAATGTTGCATATTTTTGTAGTTTTACTGTTAATCTCACTACATAACAAACAATTTCTATTTATATTGTTGTCACCAACTTATAATGCAAATGAACAACCTGTCTTAGCTGACAGGTGTGACACCCAGTGTGGTCTTCTGCTGCTGTGACCCCTTTCAGAGCTGCTCTTCTGCATAAGTTGGTTGTAATCTGTGGTTATTTGAATCACTTTTGCCTTCCTGTCAGCTCGAAACAGTCTGATCATTCTGCACTGACGTCATCGAGGCATTTTCACACAGAGAACAGCTGCTCTTTGGAAATTTTCTGCCTTTTGGACCATTTTCTGTAAAACCTAGAGTTCCCAGTAGAACAGCAGACTCTGAAATATTCAGAATAATCAGCACTTCTGGCACAAGAAGCCAATTCAGAGTCACTTAAATCACAAATCTGCTGTTCAGTTTAAACTTAAGCGTGTTATTTTGACCACATCTGCATGCTGAAATGCATTGTTACTGTCATAGGATTGTATATTTGAGCTAACATGCAGTTGAATCGGTATACCTAAAAGGTAATCGGTGAGTGTGTGTTGATTTGAAAGTATTAACTTAATAAAAGTGTATAAATCGGTCTCTTATAATATCCCAGAATAAAATGTGACTACACTAAAATGTCTTGTTTTGCTGCGACAAGCCTCCAATTTGTTAGAATATAAAACGAGTAGAAAAGTTGAACAGTTCTTGGATTTAATATCCCGGGGCAATCGGATGTTTGGCACGAAAGATTGCTTAATTAAATTTTTCGATCATAAAAATGGTTACCAGATGCTTTGACTGACTAATCAATCAACTGTTTAAATCATGGGAGCTCAAATCTTGTGTTGCTAAAAAACAAAATGAGCAAAAAACAGCGACTGCCTGCAAGAGAGGAGGAGGACGGGCTCTTCCACGCAGTTCGCTGTGGTCTGATTTTCAGTAATGATAAACAGATGGGATTTGTTGTAAATGGGCTCAAACATGCAGAGACCCTGATTTGTTCCTTTGGGTCTTGGTGTTTTGCTGTCTGCTTGCATTGCAGCCTGTAGAGTAAGATGCATTGCTGTGCAAAAGTCTTGAGCTCCCCTATCATTGCTTTATATTTTGCAAGGAAACATACATGGAAATGCAGTTTCCAATTCTAATGAGCTGGAAAATCAATATTTGGTGTGACCACGTTTATTCTTCAACACAGTCTGAACTCTCTTAGGCAGCTTTCTTGTTGTTTCTAGCCTTCAGGAATAGTTCTCCAGGCTTCTTCAAGGACGTTCAGCGCTCTTCTTTGAATATTATCTGTTTTTCCCCCCATTCTCTGTCAACATGATCCCACACTGCTGCAATAATGTTGGGGTTTTTAGGCATGCCAATTCTTTTTCTTTTCCTCTCCACTTGTTTCCTAACATTAGTTTTTTAAGGACCGATGCTGAGATACAAAGTTTTTTTTTATCTTTAACTAATAGATCTTTGAGAATCACCTTGTTGATGCAAAAATACAGTTTTATATTTATTTTATATTTTATGTCTGGAAAAAGTTTCCTTTTTTTGTTTTTGCCAGAGAAATGGGAAGATTTGGAAGTAACAAAGTGGCTAAAGATGCAGTTTTCTTATGGTGTTAACACTGGGCCGTCGCTCGAGTTAGATGCCTTATGCTTGAGTGATTCATAGGTCAGTGTTGAGCAACTTAACAAAAAAAAATCCTTTAGGAAAAGGGAGGCACATGGACTGGACTTCTAAAACTTTTAAAGATCATCAGAAAATCAAGAGAACTATTTCTCAAGACCATTTAAAAAAAGAAAACAAAGTCTGGCTCCTTGGAATAAATTCTGAAGAAATGAGGGGTGGCCCACTTTTACACAGAGCAGTATATTTGTGTTCCTGTTCTTTTGCATGTGCCAGATATTGCTTAATAGTGGGTTTTATGTGTCTTTGCGTTGTAGGTGTTTATGTCTGAATGATACTGAGCGCTGGACAGCTCAGCAGCTCTTGGACCATTCTTTCCTCAAGCCTTCCTCGCCTAAGCACCTTTCACAGTACCAGGACAACAGCCCAGAAGGTGACAGTGACACAAATGGAAACACAGATGACAAAAAATGCAGTGAAATCGTTATTTAAATTGGTTACAGTATAAAAGTTAGTGTCGAAAATGTTCGAATAATAAAGATAAATAAAAATTAACGTTTAATTCTCTTTTTTCCTTTTTCCCCTTTTTTTTTTGGATTATTTTTTTATTTTTATACTGAGGGAGTGCTTGCATTTAAGGAGCCGTTAACAGTTTTAGATTTCTCTTCTTAAAATTGCTCAAGATGTTGATTTGTTTGCCTCTCAGATCTAGCTGTGGACTTTGCGTCATCAGTCATCCCCCGGAGTCACATCCTCAATGCTCCTTTCAGTTCGGTCTTGCAGCACAGGCAGATTTCTCGGTTTGTCTCCGAGTTTGAGGAGCTGCAGCTTCTGGGAAAAGGAGCTTTCGGTGCTGTAATTAAAGTGGGTTGAAATAGTTTACTTACCCTGTGTGAACTTTCTCGCTCGTTTTATCTGGCAGTCAAGTTTTTGTCTTTTGTGTTTTGCCCGCATCCAGGTTCAGAACAAACTAGACGGTTGTTACTACGCGGTGAAACGCATCCAGGTGAACCCAGCCAGTAAGCAGTTCCGACGGATCAAAGGCGAGGTGACGCTGCTGTCGCGGCTGAACCACGAGAATATCGTCCGTTATTACAACGCGTGGATCGAGAGGCACGAATTGCCCGCCACAGGTGTGCTGAGCAACACCGACAGCTCCGAGCCGCTGAGCTCAGCCGACAAGGCGCCACAGCGCAAAAATGCACCGGAGCGCCTCAACGAGCTCGGCCTGCCTGACGACGTGGAGGACATCGCTCCGCCTCCCGCCCTGTCCAGCTCAGTCGAGTGGTCCACCTCCATTGAGAGGTCCTCCAGCGCAAGGTGCAGCGGACGCCAGTCCAGTGATGATGAGGATGATGACGACGATGATGAAGAAGATGTCTTTGGTGCCTCTTTTTTGTACGTTTTTTATTTTTCCTCCAAAGGACGACTTACTCCTGCTCCAACTGCTCATGCATCACCTTCTTTTTCTTTTTTTCCCACTCAGGCCATCAAATAATGACTCGAGGAGTGACATCATTTTTGATAATGGAGATGAAAGCATGGACGAGATGTCAAAGGTTCCAATGTTTTCACTTCATTTATTAGTTTTGTTATGTCTGTTAGCGTTTGGCGTGGTGCACCAACCAGCTGGTGTTTCCTCCCACAGGTAGAGCCAAGCAAAAGGCCAGCGTCCGACACAACGGAGAGCACAGAGTCAGATCGACACCTCATTACGGCACATTACCTGTACATACAAGTAAGCTTCCCCCACGTGCTTCACTTTTACCAACAAAGATCTGTTTTACGTCTGATCCGAGGTTTCCGTTCCTGACAGATGGAATACTGTGAAAAGAGCACTTTACGAGACACAATAGATCAAGGCCTGCATCAGGATCAGAATCGGTTATGGAGGCTTTTCAGGGAGATACTGGACGGCCTTGCTTACATCCACGAGCAGGTATGGAGCGGCTGCACTGATTGGATGGAGTATAACTGTGACTAAAGCCAAGATTTGAATATCTTATGTTCCCCCTTCGTTCTAGGGCATGATTCACAGGGACCTGAAGCCTGTCAACATCTTCCTCGACTCACAGGATCACGTGAAAATTGGCGACTTCGGCCTGGCTACAGATCATCCCGCTAACGTGGTACGCATTATTACAGTGTGGCGTGCAGCTTTCAGTTTCGCTCTGCTGACAGGCGGCACTGATTTTTGCCTCATTGTTTTGATTAACGTGTAAAACTCCTCGTGAAGCTCTTATAACTTGTTAAAGCAACTGTTTATCTCTCAAAGGCTGCTGGGAAATTTGAGGTGGAGGAGAGCGGCTCTGCGGTGATGGCCAAACCGGACCCAACAGGTGCAAGAGAGTTTGAAAACACGGTTTCTCATAACACCTTTGATAGCCGTGCAATAATATTCCTGTTGAACTGGCGCTCTATATTGATTTTGCATAATGTCTCCAGGTAACATGACAGGGATGGTCGGTACTGCCCTGTATGTCAGTCCGGAGGTTCAGGGAAATACAAAAGCCACATACAACCAAGTAGGAATTTAAAGATTCACTTATTTGTCTGGATGCATGAGAATTAGAAGTTGCTAAAACGTGTTATTTGAGAACGTCTCGAGTTTTAAAGAACTTTTTATTCATGTTCTTGTCTGCAGAAGGTTGACCTGTTTAGCTTGGGCATAATCCTCTTTGAGATGTCCTACCGGCCGATGACCACGGGGGCCGAGCGCATCGCTGTCCTGAGTCAGCTGCGTGGGGTGTGTTTGTGTCAGAGACTGAGAACAAGCTGGGTGGGGCTTTTGCACCTGGTGCCTTACTTACATGATTTTCTTTTTTCCCTTCATATTTACAGGAACCCATCATCTTCCCAGAGGACTTTACTTTACGTGAGCAAGGAACACAGGTGAGGATGACTGTTGCACAGCGCTTTCTTCTCCTTGTATAAATCTCAGTCTAACTGCGGTCTGTTTCTCTCTCTGCCTTTTTCTTTATGTCTACCAGAAGAGGGTGATCGAGTGGCTGCTGAAGCACGACCCGGCTCTTCGGCCGACTGCCCTGGAGCTGCTAAAGAGCGAACTTCTGCCTCCTCCCCAGATGGAGGAGTCGGAGTTGCACGAAGTGCTGCAGCATACCATGGCCAATATCAACGGCAAATCCTACCGCACCATGGTGGCCCAGCTGTTCGCCCAGAACACCTCACCAGTCATGGATTACGCTTATGATATAGACCTCTACAAGGTGAGGAGCTGATTGAGCTGACCAAGCGTTTGCCAGTGGATTTTATTTTACTGTAGCCGTGCCGTTCTTCATCTTTGCTGGATGTCCGATTAAAACTATGCTGAAAGACTTTTTTAATATACTGTTTTTAACAGCTGTGATTCATGTGAGATTTTCAAATAATGTGCTCAGATGGTGTAACAGATAATTCCTATTCAAAGCCCAGCTGAGTTGAAAGTTGATATTAGGCAAATCGGAGGTCACTCACCTGCTGTTCAAGTGCTCTATTGGTAAAGAGTGCCCAATCAGAAAGATGGATTAAAGGGAAGGTAAAGTAAACTTTTTTTAGATGGTAGAGTAAGCAGTATTGGCAGAGGGGTTGTTAATCACTTTCAGCTGCTTCAGTGTTTATTAACAGCAGGTGCACTACAGGGACAGCAGTGAGACAAGCCCCAAAACAGGAATGGTTTTACAGGCAGAGGCCACTGACTTTTTTTTTGACTAGTTTTGCATTTAGCTAGGGCAAGGTCAGCAAACCTGTGGTTAGCCCTTACCCTTTTATTACATATACTGCGTGCAATAACTTATCCTCTCCCAGTCATCTGCCCTTCTGTCCACCAGAAGGTAGGAGGTGCTAAAGTGACTCTTTTCATGTTGAAGGTTGCCGATGCCTAGGGTAGGATCAGTGTCACTAGTAGCATGAGGTGATGTCTGGACCCTACAGAGGTTGTACAGGTGCTCCAACTCGTCCAGAACGGCACATCAATATGTGGCGTTGCCAGGTTTGGTGTGTCTCTCAGCACAGTCTCAAGAGCATGGAGGAGGTTCCAGGGGACGGACAGTTACTCTAGGAGAGCAGGACAGGGCTGTAGAAGGTCCTTAACTCATCACCATAAAAATGTTATCTGGATGAAGTCGATGGACCATTGTCAGATCCTGCACTGGTGCAGTGGCTCCTGGGTTCTTCCTAGTACACAACAATACCCAGCATCATATGTCGAGAGGATGCAGGCATTTCCCAGAGGATGATGGAATTGATAACATGCTCATATAATCTAAATGCAAAAACGCATCCCTGGGACGTTGGTTTCAGTCCAACCAGCGCCACCAAGTTGGACCTCAGGCCTAGAGCTCAGTTATGCCCATATGTCATCTCATTAGGAGCATGCCCCAGTGTTGTCAGGCATAAGCACACATGGTCCATGCATGCTAAGTGCCATTTTGAATTGCTGCAGTTAAATTTCAGCAAAAATGGGCTAGCCTGCTGCATCACTTTTCACTTTGATTTTAGGCGTGTCGTTGAATTCAGCCCACTGCAAGTTGATCATATTTATTTCTTACCCGGTCCGTGTCAGTGTACACAGCTAGCATGTTTTTCCCATTGAGATTTGTTGTGTTTTTAAAGTGTTCCTTTAATTTTTTGATTCGTGTTTATAAGATGTATACATACAAGTCCAAGAGTATGGATTATTAAATAACATGATTGCAAACCTGTGCTTTTTCAGGTCACAATTCATACTACCTGTCATGTTTAAGTTGTAAGGAATGCTTAACCCTCCTGTTATGTTGGTTTCCAGGAACACCAATTATGCTCCTGGGTTAATTTGACCCGGGCAAATTTACTCATCCAAAAGTGTCAGAAACACTGGCATTAATTATTTTACAATTTTCTTTTATAATTGTGATTTTTTTCGTTTTCTGTAGTGATGCAGATGACATGTGACATCTCTTCTGTTCTGGGTCAACAGGAGGGTTACATGGAAGCAAATCCACTTCTTCCCTTCTCTACCTCTAGATGGCACTGTAGGCAAAGGAATAGCTGCACTCTTTCTTTCTAAGCTGGCTCTCTCATCTGGTCTATCACAGATGAGCACAAGGCCTGTTAGTGCTTAGTCGATGTCTCCTGATCCCTGACAGAGGCTGTTTGTTTGCTCTCCCTTCAGGGCAGCTTCAGCTTCAACAATGCCAAATTGCAGCAGCATGTGTACGAAAGCATCACCAGGATCTTCAAGAAGCACGGTGAGTGCACCGTGTCTGTCGAGTGCGTGCATGTGAACGCGACCTTTGTTGACACTACATGGACTCCTTTTTAAAGACCCCAACATCTGCAGCAGTGAGAGGCAGCTAAACAATAAGCGTACTGTTGGGCAGCACAGATTCTGTGCATGTGCGAGTGTTGTTTTTGGGCACGTTGCTGATGATGTCCAGCTGTACTTGTTTGTTTATGCGCAGTTTGTCTGTTCACATGCATCAGTTATCACAGGGTCATTGTGGTTTATGAAGATGGAGCAGCAATGTGTTTGATTTCAGGTGCCGTGCGTCTCCAGACCCCGCTGTTCCTCCCCAGGAACAGGAAGTTGTACGATGGCATTGAGCTGGCCTGCTTCATGGACCATAGTGGAATGCTGGTTACGCTGCCCTATGACCTTCGCGTGAGTTTAACACACACACGGAGTCTGGTTTACGTGTCCACACATGCACACAGAGCGCCAATCATAAAACTATTTACATAGGAACATGCAAACACACACACACACAGTGTGAGGCTGCAATCAGCAGCTGCCTCAGGAACCCCGAGGACCAAATGCTTGTTTCCACACATATATTGATTACAGCCTGGTATGCACAGACTTCACTGTCTTTATACAAGTGCACCCAATGTCTCAACTCTTGTTTTTTTTCCTTCTTCCGCTTTAGATCGCGTTTGCAAGATTCGTCGCTCGCAACAATGTGACACATCTGAAACGGTAAAGTTTATATTGAGAAGTCATTTTGACCATTTGTGTGCACACAAGTAATTCTAATGATGCTCGTTTATGAGGGAAATCTTTTCATTTAAAATGTTCTTAAAAATATTTTATAGAAAATGTGAAAGAAAAAAACAAACGTAATTTGTGTTTTAATGTGTTTAAAGAAAGTTATATGCTTTTGTGTCTGCAATCAATACTTTATCAAGTCCCCCCCCTCTTTAAACATACCGGACTGTGCAAAAGTCTTGAGCCACCCCTTACTCTTTATGTTTTGCTTGGAAAATGAGAAATAGGTGCAGCGGTTTATTGAAACATGGCAACATGTTTATGAAAAGACTCAATTTGTTCACTTCCAATGAGCTAGAAAGTTATTGTTGAACACAGCGTGAACTCTCGTAGCTAAGCTTTCTTATTCTTTCTTTACATAGTCGTCAGGAATAGTTCTCCGTTCATTTCTAAGGACATTCAAACCTCTTGTTGGTTTTACAGATGGCTGTAGACACTCACATTTGTCTTAACCTCCTCTGTACATATTGGCTTTGATTTGAACTAAAAGTTTCTCATTTTGAATCCATAACTCTTTAAAACCTGCCAAAGATTTTCAGTTCTGTTCTTGTGTCATTTGGTTTACCTCAGACATCTCTCCATGTTTCCCTTCTGTAAGAATGAGCATTTCTACCAAGTCCTGTGTCGAGTCTTTATTATATTTTGTTTGACATGATTCTAAGATACAGTTCATCTGCTGTAGATTTTTCTTTTTTTGGCTTTTTCTTCCTCATCGTTTTAAGGACACACTGTACATCATGCAGACATGGCGAGTTTTGTCATCAGGTGATTTTCAAAGAGCTATTATTGGTGCAAAAAATGTTTTATGCCCGTCAAACTGTTATCTTTAGTATTGTTGATAGATTCAGCTAAAGAAATGGGAAGAAATTGTATCTTAGGGTTAAACCAAATATTCCTCTGAAAACAGTCAGGTACAAGAACGCACAGTGTTCCTTTTTATTTGTCGAGTTATGTTATTTTTCATTACCTCGGTAAACCTTTAACCTCTCCACTTTATAGCTGACAGTAATGAAACTCGTGGCTGTGCTCACGGGTCGTGCTAACACCTGAAGCGTGGTTTTTGTGTATCTGTTGAAAAAGCCTGTTTTCATGCTGGACGTGTGTTTCTCTTCATCTCTCTTAAGGTACAGCATTGAACGAGTTTTTCGGCCCAAGAAGCTGGACCGCGCACACCCGAGGGAGCTCCTCGAGTGCGCCTTTGACATCATCACTCCTGTTAGCAACAGCCTGCTCCCTGAGGCCGAGATCATTTACACCATCTCTGAAATAATCCAGGAGTTCCCCGTGCTGCAGGTCACGCACAAGCTGCTCGTGTTGTTGTTATATGTTTATGTTTTTAATCAGACTGTTGGGTCAGATCCACGATTCTTAATTATTTTTCTGACAGATGCCGATAGCAACACCTAACCAGTTGGGGATTTTTTTTGGTCCCCCCTTACTTCCCACTCACATTCCTAACGTTCCAAAGTATGTGTAAGCCTGACAGATTTACACTCTATTTATTGTTTATCTAGTAAATCTGTTATGCACCGCTCTGTCAACTTCCTTCCCTCCCTTCCAGTACAGTCCATTTCCTGTCCCGATTCATTCCATTGCCCCGTCAGTGGTGCTACTCTTCGCATGCTTCATGAAGCCGGTCCAACTTTGTGTCTGGCCTCGTAGGTCTTGTTTCTGATCGCTCGGCTCTTTGTGTAAAAGCTTTTAGGAATCTGTGAGTCAGAAAGAATGAAAGGGAAGCCGGACGAGCGGGTCATTATTCATCGCAGTGCTCATTGTGAAGCAGTGCTTTTAAATTTTGACTGTAATTGTGTCTGAGAATGTTGAAGGTGTGTTTGTGACTGCAGGAAAGGAACTACAACATCTACCTAAACCACACCAGCTTGTTTAAGGCCGTCCTGCTGCACAGCGGCGTCCCGGAGGACAAACTGAGCCAGGCCTCTAACATACTGTGTGACCTTATGGTCAGTCCGGGTTACACATTGCACGTCTGTTATTGATATGCTCCTTTGAGCAGATGCAGTCAGTAAGGCAGTCGTGACATTTTTATCACCTTTTTTCTTTTCCTTTTTGTCTGCATCTGCTCCAGAGTGAGAAACTCACCAAACGTGAAGCGGAGGCAAAGTTCTGCAACTTTTCATTGTCAGCCAACTGTGTGAGTGTCCACCTGGTGTATGAACCTTCTGTAAAAAATATTCAGCACACTTGTAGCACATGTGAGAAGTTTGCATTCAAGGCTTTGTGCCAGACTGGCTCTCGAAGGTATGGTTGCAGCCTTTCAGCAGCTGTATTTGAACTCACACGGTGATCCTGTCCTGAACCTGAGCTTGTAGTTTTGCTGTCTACAAAACTGCTACTGAAAACTGAAAAGAGAGCTTTCTGGCAGAAAGTCATGGAGGGAAGCTCATGCTCAGTCACACTGGCATCTCTCCTCACCTCTCGCTTTCAGTTGCAGACTCTGTACAAGTACATAGAACAGAAGGGGAATCTGCAGGACCTGGTGCCGCTGCTGTCATCACTTACCAAGCAAAAAACTGCCGTTACCCAGCTGGCCAAGCAGGGTCTCAAGGACCTGGAGGAGCTCACTGTGCTTCTGCCCAAACTTGGAGTTAAACTGATGGTGATACAGATTCTGGAGGATAAGGAAACACCTGCTGTATCTGCTTTACTTTGTTTTTAAATAAAGCTGTATCTCCTTTATAGGTGGTGATCAACTTAGGCTTAGTGTACAAAGTGCAACACCACTCAGGAGTCATCTTCCAGTTTGTGGCTTTCATCAGGAAGCGCAGACGAACCGTACCAGATATTCTGGCAGCCGGAGGACGCTACGACCACTTGGTAGGCTTTACAGTCATTCCACAAAGTAAAGCCAGGCCACCACTAATATTAATCACATGTAGCTGTTTATTTGAAAAACATGGGCCTATATCATGCAGTTTGCTCCCTGCCTTTCTAGATCCTGGAGTTTCGTGGACCGGTTTCCACAGGACCCGTCCCCAGCGCAGTGGGGGCCAGTGTCGCCGTGGACAAAGTCTGCGCTGCTATAGTCAGCATGGAGGAGCCGGTGAGAGACGCAGACACACGCTTGAATCTGACGTTGCTAATTATTATAATGAAGGAGCAGCAGATGGTTTCATATTTAATGATGGCTTCATAGAGCAGTCGGGCTGCCACACAGCTACTTTTAGAAACCTGTTAATAACTATGATCACCGCTGCTCCCGACTCCACGGAGTTATTTTTGGAGGTGCATCATTTTCTATATTTTAGATGGAGATTGTGAAATGATGTGCCCCGAAAGCTTCGTGCACATATAAATACCTGGAATGACTCCTTTGCTGAACACATAATGCTTTAACTGCAGCTCCCTGCTTCTATAATATTAGACTAAATGCATTTGCACGTAGTTGCTTTGCGCGACCGTATTTGTTTGTCTTCGTATCAGCCAACAGTGAGCTCCTATGATGTGCTGGTGGTCCCTGTGGGCCATTCTTCGATGTCCAAAGCCATCAGGGTTGTTCAGAAATTGTGGAGCACCGGCATCGCTGCAGACATCAACTACGATGTTTCACAGGTTAGTCGTCTTTAACTGGTTCCACTCATAAAACCAGAACAAACCAGTTTTGATTTAAAGGTGAACCCTGAGACCCCCTCATGGAGTGTAGTAATCTCATCCCTCCTATAGAGGGCAACACTTGACTTCTATTTTAAAGGAAAAACCCTCACTTGTTGCCAGCAGCCTTAGTGTGACAGCAAGTAGTAAAAGTGGTAAATACGCCACAGAATGAGCTCTGTGGCTGCTTTTCAAAGAGCATTACTGGCCATACTGGGGCAATATACTGGGGCAATATACTGGGGCAATATACTGGGGCAATATACTGGGGCAAT